GCGTGGCGGTAAAACCGGATCGGGAGCCGGCACCTTCTCCAATTTCAAGAGCATCATCGTGTTGCAGAAGAGTTACGAGTGCGGGGAATGCGGCAAGAGCTTCAGCTGCAGCTCCCACTTCAGCAAACACCGGCGGACCCACACCGGTGAGAAACCCTTCCTCTGCCTCCATTGCGGTAAGAGCTTCAACGTCAGCTCCAACCTCTACCGGCATCAACGCGCTCACGCCGCCGAACGGGCAGGTCCGCGATGCTCGGCCGCCTCCGCCGGCACGTCCCCGTGGGTTGCCGTATAAATGCGAGGAGTGCGGCAAGAGTTTTCGCCGTAACAAGGAGCTGGTGACCCACCAACGGTTGCACACCGGTCGCTTGCCCTTCCAATGCGGTCACTGCGGTAAGAGCTTCAGTTGGAGCTCCCAAAAAAAAATACCGGTGAGAAGCCCTACCAGTGCCCCGAATGCGGTAAGCGTTTTAGCCGTAGCTCCCACCTCTACCGGCACCAACGCACCCACGCCGGCGGTCGTTCTTACATCTGCACCTATTGCGGGCGTAGTTTTGGTAGCACCCTCCATTTTGACCGGCACCAACGCACCCACACCGGTCAACGACCCTACAAGTGCACCCTGTGCCGGAAAAGTTTTGGCGATGGGCCAGCGTTGGTCAAACACCAACGCCTTCATCTGGGTGATGGTCCTTTCCGTTGCGAAGAGTGCGGTAAAGCCTTCGGTGCCCGCGCCCAATACGCCCGGCATCGGCGTAGCCTCCACGGCGGCGGTGAGAAACCGTACCGTTGCGGTGATTGCGGGAAGAGTTTTTCTTGGAGCTCCCATTGGGAACGACACCAACGTATCCATACCGGTGAACGACCCTACCAATGTGGAGACTGCGGCAAACGTTTCGGCCGGACCTCCCATCTCTACCGGCATCAACGTACCCACGCCGGCGGGCAACCCCACATCTGTGCCGATTGTGGGAAGAGCTTCAACAGCACCCTACACTTCCATAAGCACCAACGGGCTCATGCCGGTCCCCGGCACGCCTGTCCCGATTGCGGCAAGGCGTTTGCCGACGGTTCGGCATTGGCTAAGCACCGGCGGGCGCACGCCGGCGAGAAGCCTTTCCCTTGCCCGCAGTGCGGCCGGCGTTTCGGGGTCAGCTCCCATCTTCACCGTCATCTCCGTAGCCATGGTGAGGAGGAGCCACCCGAGGAGCCACCGGATGAGCTCACGCCCTGTTAACTGGGGGACAGGGAAAGGCGGGGGGGGACATAGGTTT